GACAGACAACAAGTGTCAGTACGACAGACGACACGCATGACGACAACAAACCTCTGAGTCGTTTCTTCGAGTACTTCAGTATTTGTCTCGAGTTTGTCGTCGAGTTGTCTCCCGTGTGCGACGACTGCGACGTCGGCGACAACAGAAGACTCGTCACGTCACAGGAATGTCGGTTCAACTGCTTCTGAATGGCTGTCGTCGGTAATAGTTGTGTCGACGGCGACGACGACAACACGAGAGAGAGTCCGCTTCTGTCGGGCTTCTGCTGCGGGTTGTCGTCGCTCTCGTTGTTGTCGTCCGAGACGTCCAACGAGTGGTAGAATCGTGTGATTCGCGGACGGCGTCGGAGTCGCGGAAGCGTCGCAGTCGTGTCGTCCATCACGTCGGGCGACGACTGCACGACAGGCACCGACTGGAGAGACGTCGAGCGCTGCGACAGACAGACAGTGAGACGACAGGAGAGACAGCGCGACGACACTTACCTTCAGGTTGGAAGTCATGAGGAGTTGTGTCAACGCTTTGAGTCTGTGGTAAGAGGAGCGGCGGCGACGGCCACTCGCGCGGCAACTCTTGGAGTACTTCTTGGGCTCGATTTGGCGTATAATTTGTCGCAACTGTTGTCTGTTGTGGTCGTCGGTGGTGTCTACAGCTGTCGTGCGGTTGTCGTCATTGAGAGGTCTGTCTCTCGACATAACTGTCAACAACTGTTCGCACGACAGAAGCGTTTCGCAGATCTGTTGCCATTCGTCGCCAAACGATTGGCGCAAACGAAGCAAATGTCGCGAAAGAGAGGACGCGTTCACAGCTCGCTCTTCGTCTCCATCTTTGTTCGAGTAGTCGTTGCAGTCGTCGTCTGTCGTCGTTCGCAGCATCTCTTCGTTGAGCTATTTTTGTGCACTTTTTTGGCGAAAACCCAAGTCTTTGGTCACTCTTTGTGCGCACTCGCCGTCCGCTCCACACATGCGGCGATGGGTTTGGCGTTTCAGACGGTCCGCGACGGCCGAAGAGGACCGCCGGACGACAGCCGAGCGACGCGTGTCGTCGGCGACGACGACTCGACGGCAAAGCAATGCATTCGCGGAGTCTTTGCGTCAAAACGTGTCAAAAGAGGTTTGTTTTCGTCGCTGCGCTCTCACAACGCATGCGTGCAGTGGAGGCAGCGATGGGTCGACGCGCGCGCGACGTTTTGCAGAGACGATCGATCGGACGCTCAATGGGTTGCCATTCATTCGACGCTGTCGTCTATAGTATAGAGTAGAGGAGAGTATAGGCGACCACCAAACGGACGACACGAACGACGAGAACGACGACAGCGAAGACAACAGATTGCCATTGAATTCGGGTTTCGATTCGGCGAACGAACTCTGTTTGCGATATTGAGTTCGTTGTCGTTGAAACCTGAATCCCAATCGGCTTTCACTCAGCAGCCAATCAAAGCTCTTCTAAACGTTTATTTCAATACAATTCGAGACAACAATTGACAGAAAACGAGACGAAAAGAGACTATTATTTGGTTAACGAAAGTCTTCGCATTCGCGGAATGTCCTGAAAGTCACGAAAGAAGTGAGAAGAGCGCAAAAGAGGCGCAAAAACACTCACGTATTCCTCCATAGAGAGCGTGCGGCGCCGTCCGATCGACCCCAACGTCTTGAGCGCGCTGTTGCCGTCGCGCGCCTGACCTGCGGGCGAAATAGAGGGCATTAGAGCGCTGTTTGCGTTTCCTACTGATGCCCTTATGAGCGGCAGCTGCCGGCCTGTACTCCAGTCTTTAGGCTCCGGAAACTGCTTGTTTTCGTCTGAAACGCGGTTAAACAGCCGCGAAAGCGACGTTTGTGCGCTAACCAAATCTTTCGAAGCCGATTGGCTGACCGCCCGATCACTCACCTCATGACGTCACACACGTCGTCCACTTTCAACAAAGAGGTCTTCGTTTTGTTGCACTTCGAGTGTATGGCCTCTACGCCTGCGCAGTACGGCGAGCGCGCGCCCGCCACCAACAGGACGTCCACTTCGGCCAAATCCGAGATCACCTTCCGGTTCATGTAAGCCGTGACGTACTTCTGCAGATTGCGCGCATTGAGGGTCTGGACGCGCGCGCGATATGCCTCCAGAAGCGCGCGCGACGTCTCGTCCGTTGAATCCTTTCCGATCTGAGGACACAATCGAATCGACAATCGATAATTGATCGCACAATCGATGGCCACTTGCCTTATGGAGCGCCACGACGTCGAGTGGAGACATCTGTTGGGAGTTTCGGCGGTGGAAAAAGCGGTCTTTTAGCTGATCCAGGAATCCCACTTCGGCCGACACGAGGTGCACGAGAACCAGGCCGAGCACGCGCGACGGGTGCGCCAAAGCGAAACGCGCGAGAATGTTGGCGCCCGCGCCCTCCCCGACGCCCACCACGAGCGGCACCGACAGCGCGTCCAGAACGTCGCGAATCACCTCTTCGCCTGGAGGGAGGGGAGGGTTAGTAAGCGAATAATGGCCGCCAAACACCCACCGATCTGCTGAATGGTTGGGAAGCCCTCCACACGCAGAAGCCGCGGCAGGAGAACTGGCGTTTGCAGCTGCACTTATTTTTCGCTCGCTAAGAACTAGAGTTCGTGACGTTGTTTCTACCGCAGTTTCTCGCGCTGTTGTTATGCTTCGTTAGTAAACTCGACTCGTTGTCCACGAATTCCTTCATTGAACTGAAAATGCGTTTTCATTGGTTAACGGCTTTCGGACGGATCGCGAACTCACCTGTGATTGGCTCCGATGTCGTGAACCGTCAGAAACACGGCCTTCGACTGAATGGCGTCCAGAGAGCCTACGGAAAGGCGGAAACGTTACTCGGGTGTTGATGGCGACCCCCCCTCCGCCCCCTTACCCTGGATGTGCACTTTGACGGCGCCGAACGCCTTCGTCTGGACGACGCGCTCCTCGACGCGCAGCTCGTGCTCAACGACTGTCAAGAGTTGCGACTCTTTTTCGGTCGTCTTTTCCGTCGTCTTTTCCGCCATTTTCTCAACACTCGAGTCGCGACTGAGAGCGCGTGAGAGAAGGAGAACGCAATCGCGTCGCGAATCGAATCGCGCGCCAAAAGCAAAGCGAGAAAAACGGGTTTTCAGTCTTATTTCGCGTGAACCCTAGTCTCGACCCAAAAGGCATTCATTCGGCATAAAGTCGTTCGAAAGAAATGTCTGAAAAACGCGTTTTTTTGCTCTTCTTTTCCGCCATTTTTCACGCGTTTTCCGTCTCTTCCGTGCCTTTCGTCACAAAACGCGTTTCGCTCCACAATCCCATTGAGTGAGACATCTATTAGTGTAAAAACTCTTTCTATTTCCCTTTCCGTCCGCAGCATCGACTTCGGCGGCTGGCGTCCCATCCAATCAGCGCCCGCCGCGCCCACAGACGCCCTCCTCGCCAGCGCCTCGCAGCCCGTCCCCCAGGAGGCGCCCTCCGCGCCGCTCGAGCGCCACTTCCTGACGGTTCCCGTCGCCGTCGAGACGGACGCCGAACACGTGTTGTCGGAAACAGAAATCAATCAAATCCGCGAACACGTGATCACAAACTGGAAACAGAAACCCGAGAAGAGCGAGTCGTTCGGCGCTCACGTGCGACCGCTGGTCACGAAACTGCTGCCCAAACCGGAAGTGGAGCTCACGGTCGAGGAGACGGCGCCCGAGGGCTCTTCCGAGAGTCCCGACCGCAGCGGAGACGAGAAGTTCGTGTTTTTTGAGACAATTTATTAAAGATTTACCGAAAACTCTATTCAAACAGCGAATACACGTTCGTAAAAATGGACAAAAACGCGGACTCTTCGGCCGCCGACGAGAACCTCTTCCACGCGTACTTCGCGCCCAAAGAGCACATCCCTCCCGACGGCTACGTTCGACTGACGCGCCACGAGTTCAAGGCGTTGTTCAAGAACGCGGAAATCCTATTCATTTGAAGTCTGCGGTCGCCATGAGTGTCGTGTCGTGTCGTCCTGTCGTCCTGTGCTGTCGTCCGGTGTGTTGTTGTTGTTGCGTTGGTTGTCTGAGACGACACGTCAGTATTCGGACGTAAGTGTTGCGGAAGTTGACGTTACATAAGGCGTAACACAAGGGGTTGAGAGTGGAGTTAATGTAACACAAGTAATACGCGAATTGCCACCAAAGGCCGTCCGAGTCCACGGAAGTCGGCGAAAACGTCTTCACGAACACTGCGAGGGGTCAGAGGTCAGTGACCAGAGGTCAGAGGTCATGGAAGACTCACCGAGGATGTTGTACGGCGTCCACGTCACGATGAAGGCCAACAGAATGGCCGACAACGTCTTGGCGGCCTTGCGCTCGCTCTTGGGCTGGATGGGGGCGCGGATGCGAGTGGGCGGCGGCGAGGGCGGCGCCTCCTCCTGCGCGCCGTTCAGCATCGTGACGGTCGCCGAGTGCTCGCAATTGACGTCCAATTGGATGACAATCGTGTAGATGGACTCAGAGGTGGGAGGAGTCTCGCCGGACGCCGCGATCGACGTCTGCGATGACACTGCCGTCGCTTTCGTCGTACAGCACTTCTGCCAACACGTGGACGACGTGGAGCCCGTGTGCGACGATCGCGACGACAGCGAGTGCGACACCAGCACGAGAGCCGTGAGGTCTTTGTAGCGCCTTTCCGTCTCGCGCCATATCCTGCGACAAAAGAGACGTCAGTGTCGTCGCAAAGTGTCGTCTTTCATGACTTACCGCCAGTAGAGGACACACATAAGAGACGCCGGGAGCCAGAAGGCGATCAGAGCCGTCGATATCGTGACCCAAATGTTGGACTCGAGGAACGGGATGTAGCACTGGTCGGAGGGCACCGTTCGGCGGCCCTCGATGGCGGGCCACGCGAAGATCCAGGGCGGCCATAAGAGCGCCGACACGAGCCACGCGCCCGCGATCATAGCGCACGCGCGACGGGTGGTCCTGCGGGCGCGGTAAGTGAGCGGACGCGTCACTGAGAAGTAGCGGTCGAAGGAAATGAGGAGAAGATTGAGAACCGAAGCGTTGGAATTGAGATAATCGACGGCCAGCCACGCGTCGCACAGAAGGGCCGAAAATGGCCAGTAATTGGTGAGAATGTAAATGAGAGACAACGGCATCGAAATGCAACCGATGAGGAAGTCTGCGAGCGCCAGACTCAAGAGGAAGTAATTGCTTATTGTCTGCAACTGTTTGTCCACTTTGAAGGCTATCATAACGAGAACATTGCCGACGATCGTCAGCAGCGACAACAGGACGCCCACGAGAGCGCCCAACGTCTGGATGAGAGTCGTGGCCAACTCCACCGAGTCGTCGGGCGGCTCGTGCGTCGCGTTCATCGCAAGCGCCGACATTTTGTTTCCGCGAAGACCGCGCGCTCTCTCTTCCGCTTCCGGATTCTTGGCCTCAATTTCGCTGAACTCTTGACTTCGACGCGGATTTGAACTCAAAATCCGATTCAAAGGCAGAAAAACTCGTTTCTCTCTCGCGTTCGGCAGAGAAGAGGCTTTTCGGCGACTTCTGAAACAATTACGTCAAAAAACTTTTGTTTGTCTCGTCTTTTGTCGTCATTTGTGTTGACATTATTTATTTGTAATTCAATTAAAGTCTGATTTGTTTTGAATTTGTTTTCAACTCATTTTCCAATCGTTTGCATCGAATGCGTCGCGAAATTGTCGCCAATTGTGTCGTCAAAGAGACGACAGAAGCGCAGAGTTGTCGTCGAAATCGGCCGAAAGTGCGGCACAAGTGTCGCCATCTGTGGCCGTCGTCCGCAACTGCGGAGTAAAACAAACCGTTATTTTTGGTGCAAAAAACGCCCCAAAAATGGCGCCTCAGATGACAACTGTTTGGACGACGACAGAGACAGCGCGTCGCGAGCCGTGAGTCCGTCGCCAACGCCTCCCGATGTCGACGAAGAGCTCGCAGTCCGCGGGCGCCGTCGTCTGCGAACACAACTCTCTGATTCGGCGCCAGTTCTTCAAAATCGAAAGCCTGGAGAACGAGCGTAAGTGTCGTCCGTTGTGTCGCATCCACTGCCTATCACTGCCGAGTCTGTCGTCCCGTAGTGTCGCTCCTGAGGCTCGAGAGGGACGCCCTGTTGGGGGAGAACGAGAGGCTGGCCTTTCAGCTGCAGTGCAGCACTCATCTCGAGGTCACCGCCAAGAGGTCAGTCCTGTCCACTCCGACGGCTGTCCACTACTAACGCCTTCTTCTTCCGCAGAAACGGATCCAAAGATGGCGTCAAAGACGTCGCGAATCTCAAGTAATTTTGGCCGAATTTCCCGAAAAAAGCGTTTCTTTTGATTGCAATTAAAACTCAATTAATTGCGAACTCTTGTGACGTAACGAACAGATGTTGCGTTGACTGCGCAGTCGCGGCACTCACTGACCAATCAGTGGTCGCGACTCCGAGTGACAGATGTTTCGCTGTTTTCGGGAAAACAAATGATTTTGTGTTTCATTTTTGTCCTCATTTTTGGCGCCATTTTCGCCAATTTCCGCCACTTTTTTGCTTAACTCTCTCTCTCTCTTCAGCTTCGAGTCCAACGCCTGCCGACAGTCGACGTCATCGCAGACGACACTGACGACGACGAAGACGACGGCGACAGTCGTTCCGCAGGACTGTTGCTATGAGTTGTCGCAACACCTCATTGACCGCCGCGTCGACGCTCTCGAGAGGAAATACGGCGGACTCGTGGCCCGCGAGTCGGCCACAAGAATACAGCGCGCGTTCCGCACATACCGTCTGCAGAAGCGCTTCAAGAGTATCGCCATTCAGGCGTTGCGACAGACGACGGATGAGACAACGCGACGACAAGCGGAACGACAGCCGTCGCTCAGCGACACTCAGAGCACGCGCTCCGACGACAGCTCTTCGGCCCAGAACTCGGCGTCGGTCTTCATCCCGGAGTCTCTGCTCGCGAGCGCCTCCACGCAGTCCTCGCAGGCCTTCGAGTGTCAGCGGAAGCGCTCGTATCGCGTGGGACTCAACCTCTTCAACAAACAGTGAGTGACGTCATAGCGATCTGTCAGCTGACCTCTGACTCCGCCCCTCTGACAGCCCTCCCGAACGCGGCCTTCGATTCCTTTTGAAGAACTCTTTCATCGAAAGCGTCGACAATAGTGAACAACAATCACAACTCGTCGCGCGCTTTCTGCTCACCAGAAAAGGCGTTTCCAAAGCAATGATTGGCGAATACCTCTCGCAGCCCAACAATGGCCTCGTTTTGAGCGCTTTCGCCGCGGAAATCGATTTATCGGGACTTCAAGTCGACTCCGCTTTGAGAAAGTTTCAGACATTCTTCCGCTTCCCAGGTCTGTATCCGCTGTCCTTACCATCCCTTCTGATCCCTATTCCTCCGCAGGCGAGGCACAGAAAATCGAGCGAATGGTCGACGCGTTCGCCACGCGCTTCGTTGAGTGCAATCCCGGCGACGGTCTGTCACGTGACTCCGTCTTCATTCTGTCGTTCGGTAAGTCATCTGTCGTGTCGTCTGTCGTCTCTCTCACGTGACTCTCTCTCTTAGCCATAATAATGCTGAACACGGACCTGCACGCGCCCACGAACTCCAAGAACCGCATGACGTCACAGCAGTGGCTTCAGAACCTTCGCGGCGTCTTTTCCGACGTCTCGCTCTCTCAACAGTTCCTTCTCGACGTCTATTCGCGAATCAAGACCTGCACGCGCCCACGAACTCCAAGAACCGCATGACGTCACAGCAGTGGCTTCAGAACCTTCGCGGCGTCTTTTCCGACGTCTCGCTCTCTCAACAGTTCCTTCTCGACGTCTATTCGCGAATCAAAGTCCAGGAACTGCGCACCGGCGCCGACCACGTGACGCAGGTGGCGAAAGTGCAGTCGGCGGTCGTGTCCGCATCACGCGGTCAGTCGGTGCCGAACCTGTGTCTCGAGTGGCGCCGTCTCGTGTGTTATTGCCGTTTATATGAAGTTCGCGACGAAAACAAAAAAGAGTCAAAAGATAGACATCAAAGAGAAGTCTTTCTCTTCAACGATATTCTTCTCGTGACGAAACTGTCGGCGCGCGCAAAACAGAGCCAACTCCCAGAATACGCGTATCGGGAAGTGTACGCTCTGGAGGGCCTTTCGGCGCAACTCTTTTGCTCCGCTTTCCATCGCTTTGGCATTCGTTTACGAAGACGCGTCGACAACAATCAGAGACCTCTCGTGTCGTTCAACGCGCGCAACGAATTGGACCAAAAGAGGTTTTGCGACGACTTGAAGGAAAGCATTGCAGAGACGCAAGAAATGGACGCCATTCGCATCCACAAGAGCACCTCCCTCCTCCAGCTCGACGCCCCCTCCACCTCCGCCCCCGCCCCCTCCAACGGAGCGCTCCCCCCGCGCCGCAAGTCGTCCTCCGGTTCCCTCGACTCCGGACTCTCTCTCCCATCACGTGATCACTCGCCGCAAACGGCGGCGAACTCCGCGACTGCGCAGACGACGAGTTAATTAGATTTGCGAACGATTTGTACAAAAAGTATATAAAAAGAGTTTTATTTTATTTTCGGACAAATGTTTGAAATCCTCGCCTTCTCCGCCAAATTTGCGGCCAAAGTCATCGTCTCGCGCGCCTTAATCCGCGTCCGCTCATTGAGGTCGCGCGCAGAGTCGGCCACCAGCCGCGCGCGCGCCGTCAACGCGACCGCCGCCTCCGCCACGCGCTTCGCCGCCTCTCCGATGGCCGCCGACGCGTCGACCAGTTGTCGGGCGAGAGCGCGCGCGCCCTCACTGTTGGCCTCCAATTCGGCCGTCAATTGTTGCGCGCTTTGCGTCAGACTTGCGGCCAATCGCTGGACTTCTCGCGCGTCGTATTGTTGGCCGTAATCGGGAGCCAAACGCTGTCCACTGATTGGCGAGAAGTGATTGGCGTAAAAGGGAACGACGTATTGGACGACGGGTTGAGACGACGCGACGACAAAGAAGACGACAAACAATACTAAGAGCTCGCGAACGGACGCCATGTTTGAGACCTTCGCTTCTTTGGGTGGAGTCGAGAGCGAGACAACAATCATAACAATCATTGAGTGATAATTGCTTTGAATTTTATTTTTCGTCAAAAATTGCAAAATCTCTACAAAAACCGGATTTCAAACACTTTTCACTTCTTTTTGTAGTACTTTCCGCCTAAACCCCCGTAAACCGCCTTTCCGTATCCATAGCCGCCCAACAGGTGTCCGCCGTAGTGTCCGTAACCGCCGTATAGGGCGGGGGCGGTCACCACGCGCGTCACGACGACCTTCGGTGCGTAAAGACTGCCGTAATGTCCGCCGTAATGGCCGTGAAGACCGCCGTAAATGCCGGACCCGTAGCCATGGTAACCGCCGTAGTATCCCGAGTATTTGGGGTATCCGTAGCCATAGCCGCCGTGTCCGCCGTAAATGCTAGACCCGTAGCCATAGCCGCCGTAATACTTGGGGGCGTATCCGTAACCGCCGTATCCATGGTAACCGCCGTACAGTTTGGGGGCGTAAGAGA